GTGTGTGTGTGTGTGTCTGTGTGTGTGTGTGTCTGTGTGTGTATTTCAAAACAACGTTCTCACAATATTTGTATAAGTTTGTTACCAGGGCTAGTTCAGGAATAGTTCACCAAAATGAAAATGTCATCCATCACTCACCCTCAAGCTGTTACTGTGTGCAAACCTGTTGTTTTTTCATTGCACAAAACATTTTTCAACATTTTAATCTTCTTTTGTGTTCCACAGAATCATGAAAGTCCTAAATGTAGCCTCAGTGTACTATCCCTTTAAGACCTGTATTTTCTCACTAGCCTGTCCATCTTATTTGTTATGTTGTATCGCAGAAGTAAAGCTTTCCTGTGATTTTGCGAGACTTCCCATTCATTAGTCACTATCAGTAAAAGAATAACACTAGTGTAGCAAACAATAAAACTGCCGACAGGCTACAAACCATTAATCCTTCAAATAAATCTAAAACACATCACGTTAAAATAATCTGATAACAAATCCCAGTTTGCAGTATCAAGCAGCATAACGCATGTTTTCAGTGAATGTGAATGACACCAGAAGCCTCAAACATACAGGTTACACACAGCTGCATTGCTCTTACATTACAAACAATGCATTCGTGTTATTCTTGTGTATGTGTTCATATGCTGTTGTGATTTCTGTAGCACATTAACTCTCTCTTTCTCTTTTTAATTACATTTACACTTATTGTACTATATTGTATATTATTATATACAATAAGAGACTTTAAAAAGTGAAAGTGGCATTAACGTCACATGCGGCTCCATGTTTCAGAGAGATGTGGTTTACTTCATGCCTGTGACGAATATACCTCCACCTGCACATACTACAACACGCCTCGTATTTCAAGGAATTCTACCTCTAGGAGTTTTAAAACGACGAATAGTTTTGAGGTAATGTAACAGTGAAAGTGTATATTAATTTGAACACACACTCTCAAAACAAAGGCACAAAACCTGGGGCGGTACCCTTTCAAAAGATACGACTTTAGGTAATAAAATGCACCATTTTGAGGTGAATAAGGTACAGAAACAGTATTGGGTACCATCGCAGTGCGAGCTTCTGTACCTTTATTTTTTTTTCTGAGCAGGACAATGAATTGTAATGAATCATATATTTGATTAAAATTCAGAATGTAAGCTAAATGTGTTGCTCTTGATGCAAATACTAACATTTAAAATGTTGATGAAATCATTAACTCCTGTTGCATGTCTAGAATATGAGCGATATGCATGCGATATACGTGCAGTTTACTACTTCACATACATCCTCATTAACAAAACTGTCAGAAAACAAAGCAAAGACAACTGCACTCAGTACGTGTTTATTAAAAAGTGAACTCCGGGAGAGTGAGAATATGAGCCTCTGTGTTTATGCGATCAGTGTGGAGGAGCATTCAGAAGACCCGCTCTCAGGGGACTGTGGAGAGCTGGTTATGTATTGGCTGAAGCACGATGGAAGGACCGTAAGCACTGCTCTTCTGAACTTCTGTCCCACACAGGTGTAGATGATGGGATTGAGGCAGCAGTGGATTAATGCGATGGCTTTCACCCACTGCATGGCAAGAGCCAGACCATTAAACCACTCACAAGAAAGCATGTAGCCCTTCGTCTGCAGGAACACGAGGAACGTGACGATGTTGTATGGAGTCCAGAAGAAGAAATAAACAGCCGGCACAGCCAGGAGGAGTCTGACGATGCTGTGGTTTTCTTCTGATTGAGCGCTGAGGATCCGGCAAAAGCAGAAGCTCGTGATAATCAGAGGCAGAATCAAGCTCAGGACGTTCAGATACGTAAAGGACATCCAGGCTGCACCTTCAGGAAACTCAGATCCGCAGGACGCTTTGCTGCTCTCCTTCACTTTGGCAAAAACAATATCAGGGAGGGACACAAACAGGCTGAGCATCCACACAAATAAGACCAGGGCTATTTTTGCAGGCCATTTTCTGGAACAGATGCTGTGTTTGTAGACGATGATGACGTAGCGATCCAGTGTCATGAGGACCATGAAGAAGACTCTGCCGTAGAGACCCGTCGTGAAGAGACCGGTTACAGTGTGACACACGAACGAGCCAAAAACCCACTCATCCACGGCACTGTGAGCCCAGACCGGGAGCGAGGCGAGACAGAGCAGGTCAGAGACGGCTATATTGAGCAAACACACGTCTGTCAGACTGCTTCTGTGACGGTGTCTGATCAGGACCCACAGGACCAGAGCGTTTCCCAGCAAACCCAGCGTGAACACTGTACTGTACAGGACGGGAAAGAGAAGCCCGCTGAAGGCCGTTGTGCTCTCATCTGCACACACTGATCCAGTCTCATCATAGAAGTCATAGTAGTCACTGTAGTCTGCTGTCGGAGCTTACAGGACACACACACAACACACTGTTAGCTCATCCAATATAATATAGGCCTACTTATAATTATGTTATGATGTATTTTGAAATCTTTCAACATTTCTTTAGGTTTGAAAGTAGACAAAATATTAGGTAGCAACACTTTATAATAACTTTCATTTATAAATCATCGAAACTATTCATCATTTGCAAATGTTTATAAGTGTTTACTAGTCATTATTGCACGGCTCTGTGGAATACTCGATTCTGATTGGTCAGTCGCGACACATTCCGAGGTATGTTATCCCTCGATAACAACTGGTAAACTTTTTCTGTGTTCAAAATGTGCAAAATGCATATAACGAGCGAGCACATCATGAATTCATCTTCCAAACCGCGTTGTTGTCTTATTCCGAATAAGTGCTTATATTCGGACTATTGTAGGCTGGTTGCTGCGGAGGAACACACACCTGCGTGAAGCGCCGGAGACATACACTTAGAGAAGTAGATCCGGTCGGAATGTTCCTCCGCGGGATGTGTGCAGCTCTGTTTATTAACCGCTAGAGCGTTACATAGTTACACAGTGCTGCTTTAAAGATGTATTCAAGTGTACAGCACAAGCAGGAACTTGAACAGAACATAGCAACAGAACATCTTCTGGTCAGAGCAGGCATTAAGTGTTAACTGAGGACTTTGAGAAGATGTTTAAATGTTCACCTGTAATACTTGTTTCATGTTTAAATACCTAATGCTTCGTATTTTTACTTTTTAATAAACGCTTATTTAAAATTTTGTGAATATTGTGACAAAGATAATACTTAAAAAGTGGAACAACGAAAGTGAAACAAAGATTTGACTAACAACACAGCCGCCTGTAGTTTAAAATAAACAGTATTTTCATCTCAGAAGTAAATATGCATATAATGTACTTATTTGAACACGTTTTAAATCAAACCCACTAACGCCTCCCCCAATCTCATCCGTGTAATAAAAGCAGTATTTTGGCAGATGCTCTGCTCGCCTGTTGTGTTTCTCAAGCGCTTCTCACGCGTTCATTTGCTTAACAAAAGCTGCTTTGAGATCGTGTTGACAAACGCTTATATTTTCAGCGAGACAAAGCTACACGAGCCGCAGAACATCCTTTGCGTACGATGCACCTGGTTGCCATGACAACCTCTGTTGCTGCTGAATATGTAATGATAGTAAAATCATCTGAATGGGTCACAGATTGTGCATGTGTAGGAGCAGCTGCATGCATAGACAGTTTAGTGACCTACCAGTTGCAGTCCCCGGGCCCTCGGTCATGGCTCTTGATTACAGCAGCTGAATCTGGGAAATCTGGGAAATCTGTGTGAGCCATCCTGTCTTTCAAAAAGCTGAACCAAACAGGAAAGTCCCAAAACTCCCCAAACTCCGCCCACTTCCCGAAAAACACACTTTCACTCAGACAGAATTCCACTGCGTGCCAGCCGAGGCTGATTAGGACTGTTTTTACCTCCTTAAAACGAAATAGTGACAAAAATGATCAAATGAATCAATTTCCCAGATGGGACAGGACAGCTGCAGCCAATACATGCAATAACAAAGTAACTGGTGTTACTTATTTGAAAAAGTAACTACATTTAAAAAGTAGTTACTTGAGAAAAAGTAATCTGATTACGTTACTTGTACTGAAGGAAGTCTTAAAGGTACAGTAGCAGAACGGATTTGATTCTGAGGCTCAGTGAGAGCCAGACTAGTTTTCACGGGACACATGCTACAGAATGCAGAAAGCAACACTGTAAAAGCATGTTTCAGACTGATCTGGCCAAACCTGAGATGAACCACATTCAGCATCACTTTAAGGCACTACAGTAGACTTGATCTGAAACCTGACTATAATACCATAACATATCATATTTGCTTTGATGTTGTGTATTGTAACATTTACTCCAGAGCCCCTGAACTTCTCTACATAAGTGATGTCAATAAGCTCTTTCATGAACAATATATACAGTGTTGGGGAGTAAGTTACATGTGACGGAATTAGGTAATTTAATTACAAAATAAATGTAACTGTAATCAACTGTAATGTGTAATTAAATTACAGTTACTTATGAAAATGTTAAAGGGGGTTACATCTGAATATTTTCAAACACACACCCACAGACAGATTTAATTGATTTCTTTCATTAATTGCATTCACTGCTCTAAAATACGTGACACCAATGTTTCAGGAGTTTAGGACACGTTTATAAGATATCTGTTTTATTTCATATTTGGGTTTATGCATATGCTTTATTAACTGTTAGATGCCGGTGTTTCCTGGCATAGCTATGCAAAGATTTGATTTCAAAAACAGTATCACAGCTATTAAATTAGTTATTGTCATGTTTTAAATCTGTATTTAACCTCAGAACGATCTCAAAGTAACAAGAGGTGCTTTTGTGGTGGATGCGCTTTAATCATAAATTATCATCTTCATTCAAATGATGAAGGATTGTGAAAGTCTGACAGTAATGAGTGTTGAGCACCACTGTGAGGTTAACACTGCTTTAAATGTTTCAAAATGATTGAAAACATTCGTTAGAAATTTAGAAAATCATCGACTGTAATAGTTACATTACTTTAATAAAGTAACTGAAATAGTTACACAACTTATTACATTGTAACTTGTAATCTGTAACCAAAGTAACCTTCCCAACACTGAGCACAGGCTATATATATATAACCCAACCCAAGTACACAAGACATGTATGACCACTTGAACCAAATCTTATACTTTTTTTGTTTGTTTAGATAAATCGCTCGGAGGGGTTTGACCAAGCAGTTATTGTACAAATCATCCAAGCACCCCATTCCCAGCCATTTCTAATATACTTTTGATTAATATGACTAAATATTAAATTGTAATGAAATTGCAGATCCATCATTGATTGCCAAAAGAATTCCAGCTAATTAGATTTCACGTAGCATTTCAGTCGTGGAAGTCTGATTGGTTGATAACTTTTGACAAGGTTTAGTCCAAGTGCCAAAAGAATTCATCTCCAGCGCACAGGACACGGTTTGAGCGACATCTGTCAGTAAGATAAGGCTAACTGATGCACTTAGAAATGTAATAAAAACAAGCCAATCACAAGACATCTGGTAGGAGGGGCACATAAGGAAAAAACATGAGTGTGATTTTATGAAGACAACAATTAATGAAAAAAAAAAGACATTTTATGTTGTACAATTGAAATATCATGTGGAAAATGGAATTACTAATTGAAAACAATTATTAATAATTCAAGTTTACCCCTCAGTTTTTCCTCGTGGAACTTCATTTGAAGCCCCTTTGATCTAAAGAAGACCAGAAATGCAAATCATCGTAATTTAAAGAAGAAGCACAAACTTCATCTTTTCATTCTGCGATTCATTCACGCATGCATTCCAATTTAGAACGCGGCCATTGTGACGTCACACGGGCACCACAGGCGCGATGACGTCACACGCGCAGCGAGCCATTCATAATTCTGATGCATTGATATTTGGTCATTCCAAATCTGATTCAGGAGTATAGCGAGAATAATGGCGGAGCGCAGCGCACAAAGCAGTTCTGAGTCCATTCTCTCCTGGAAGGAGGAACTTCTTAACCTGTTAGTAAATCCCCCGAGAGAGAACCCTGGTCCTAAGCTGGTCACGTGGGCAGACGTGTCCTACAGATTGCCCATTGAACCCAAACGCATCCCTGGACGGCCCAAGAGCTGCATGAAGGTCACTAAAACCAACTTTGAATATTGCAGCCTACGGAGCCAGTCGAAGTCGCTTCCCTCGCCCTGGAGAGATGAGGTGAGGAACAGGTGGAACACACCTGCAGACGAGGAAGCGGCTCCTGAGAGCGGAATGCTGTCCCATCTGAGAGACATGTCGACCAAAGCTTCCAAACGCGTCCTGAAGGCTTTCCTGAAGCTAATGGAGAATAAATGGGAGCGTCTGGCTGAGACTGGGACGTTCTTGGTGCATTCCGTCACGGTTCAGGAGCCCGGGAGGGTGGCGTGGCCCAATACACCCATGATCCAGAGGCATTACACGTCTACTGTGGAAAGAAACATGCAAGAGATATTCCAGCAGACCATAAGAGAAGCAGATCAGCTGAGGGAAACGGCTCTTCTTAAGCCGGGGAACTCTTCCTGGAAAAGATGTGGGATCTGGCTGAAGGAGAAAGTCCTGGGCTGTCCCACACCCAAGAGGAGCTGCCTAAAGAAAACCAAAGCAGAAAGTGTCTCTGGAGACGAGGCCGGTGCCTCACAGAGACCCGTGGAGGTCAGATACTTCACCTCCCATCAAACAGAGATTCCCTCGCAAGCCGAGCTGGACACGGAGCTCAAAACAGTCACATTCGTCACCGGGTGTGAGATCGACTTGATCTGATTCCTCATGAGCTCTCTAAAAACTCTTAATAATGTACAAATAATTAAGTGCAGATGTGACAAAAAAAGTGCATTTAAAAAAAAATGTGCAAGAAATAGGTGCAAAGTCCAAAAAAAGGGTCTAAGGTCTTCCTCAAAACAAGCAAAAGAAAGAAAACGAGGAAGGAGAAATATAGGCATTTAACAACAACAACAAAAAAGGAAATGTGTAAACATGGACCATAAATGTGTAAATATGGACTATATAATTCTAAATAAAAATGAGAAATTTGGGCATTTAGCAAAAAAAAAAAAGCGTCAATATCTGTGCAGACGTACTATAAATACAATATACTTTTTTTTTTTTTTACAAATTAAATCAAATTAACAGCACATCGTGTTGCTGTCTTAGTTTTGAAAGGGAGAAAACTCAAAATCCATCTTGCTTTTTAATGTGTGACAATTTCATCAAGAACTTTTTGAAGAATTACTCATTGAATTGCATGTTTATGTTCATAATTTCTACACTTGTACTATATGTTTGGTCTGTGAAGGCCTTTTGTTTTAATGACAGCACTGATGAATGTGATTTGGAAGCTCTCGTGCTCAGCACTACACTTAATTACACTGATGTTTCTGTTTTTCTAAATGACAAACACCTGGACTCTGAAGCTTGGATTTGGATCTTTAATATTCTTGATGGTGTTTTAGTACACACACACACACACACACTCACACACTCACACTCTCTCTCTCTTTTAAGACCAAAGTCTTCTTTATGATTTCAGTTTTGTTTAAGATAATTAAAGCTACAGATTTTAAATAACGAACGAACATGTAAAAGTATGGTGTTTGGGGTAAAAAGCGCCCTGCTGTCGGGGCTAACAGTAATTAACATGATAATTAATAGAGGGCTGACTTTTCCATCTGTTGACATGACGTGGTTAGATTCAGATGTAAATATCATATATTATGTTGGGTGTCCATATTAGA